GTGGTCCCTATTTATCTACTTGCAATTTCTTGCTTTCGAATGGCTAGGTTGCTGGGCTTTTTCTACAAAAAGAGCCCTGGCAGATCAGTGATGCCTTCTCCTTACCAGAGGTCCATGAAGGGAAGCCACTTCACTCCAGGTGTCCTTCCGGGGGTCGTAGCAGAAGATTTCCTTCCCACCGAAGTGGTCCCTATTTATCTACTTGCAATTTCTTGCTTTCGAATGGCTAGGTTGCTGGGCTTTTTCTACAAAAAGAGCCCTGGCAGATCAGTGATGCCTTCTCCTTACCAGAGGTCCATGAAGGGAAGCCACTTCACTCCAGGTGTCCTTCCGGGGGTCGTAGCAGAAGATTTTCTTCAAAAGCCCCCCGACAACGTAAATCAAGTTGTTCAAAGTGATGGCATTCATACACCTCAGATTAAAAGGGGTGGGAGACAGAAGACTCCACTGATTGGTCGCTGGATTGTAGCACTGCACCTGAGAGAGAGAGAGCAAACACCTGGTCAAGTCCAGAGGTGTAGTCACAACCGGTGTTCCCTCTAAGCTGAGTTAGTGTGAGCTAGCTCACAGGCTTTTAGCCTCCAGCTCACAGATTTTTGTCTCATCTCAGGAAGGGTGGCTCCAGAGCAGTGTTCCCTCGAAGCTGAGTTAGTGTGAGCTGGTTCACAGTTTTTTAGCCTTGAGCTCATACATTTTTGCCTTCGCTCACAAAGGGATGGCTCCAGAGCAAACTAATTCATGCAGCAGCCCAATCGCTCACTCACAACTTTAATGCCAGTTGCTCACAAAGTAGAATTTTTGCCCACAAGACCCCACAGCTTAGAGGGAGCATTGCTCCAGAGTAAACTCATTGATGCAGCAGCCAAGTCGCTCGCTCACAACTTTAAGGCCAGTAACTCACAGAGTAGAATTTTCGCTCACAAGACTCCACAGCTTAGAGGGAACATGGGGAGCAGAAAGCAGGGGTTTGAACCTTAAATCGCTCATGAACCTATACCAACTGGTTCGTCTCATGAACCGGCATATCATTTCATTGTGGTTCGTGGTTCGATTCACCCACGAACCACAAACCGCAAAAATGCGATTTGTGCCCATCCCTACGGCAGAGTGGGGATTCAAATCTGGGTCTCTCAGCTCCTAGCGCAGCACTCTAACCACTGCACCAGATGGTGCATTCAGATGTGATTGGTTCCTATCCGATGAGACTGGTTCAGGCTCCACCCTGGTTCCAAACGGCGCACCCCCCCTCACTTGCCTGGGACTATTGTCTTGGCCTCTGTCCTTCCACCCTCTCTTACCTTCTCTGTATTGGCGCTGCTGCCCACCGCGCCCCCGATCACGTACAGCCGGCCGAGGCAGGACGCGACAGCAGCCGAACTTACGGCTTCCGCCAGAGAGGCCACAGCTGTCCAGGTGTTGCAGAAGGAGTCATAGCATTCCACGCTGTCGAGCTGGTCAAAGCCATCGTACCCACCCACTGCGTAGATCTGTCGTCGGGGAGAAGGAGGAATCACATTTGGTTTGCTAATACCAAGGACATGGTGGGTTAAGGTCTTGGCAGTGTCACTTGTAGAGGTAAGTCATGTCCCAGCTCACCCGGCACTAAAGGTCTTCATTCAACATATGGTTATTTTGGTACTTTTTCACTCCATCTTTCCACCACAAAAATACGGTTGCCCAGTTCCCCCTAGCCACCTGCAGAAGACGGGGAGTACAGGAGTCATTTCCTACAGGAGCGCACAAGAGCGGCGCTCCGGCAGTAAAGAGCCCAGGGGGCCGGCACATGCAATAAGCCCCGCCCCCTGCTCCCAGCAGCCCTCGGTCAGAGCAAGAAGCAGCCAGGTAAGTTGCAGAGCCCCTCTGGTCCAAACCAGTCCTATACCACTGAGGGACCCCTCTAACGGTCAGGACGTACTTCCTGATATTTAGCCGAAAACTCTTCTGATTTAATCTCAGCCCGTTGGTTCTGGTCCGACCTTCTGGGGCGACAGAAAACAACTCTGCCCCATCCTCTATAAGACAGCTGTTCAAATGCTTAAAGACGGATATTGTATCACAGGTCAGTATTATTAGCCGATACTGCTAGTGCTCACAAAGTAGAATTTTTGCCCACAAGACCCCGCAGCTTAGAGGGAGCATTGCTCCAGAGCAAACTCATTGATGCAGCAGCCAAGTCGCTCGCTCACAACTTTAAGGCCAGTAACTCACAGAGTAGAATTTTCGCTCACAAGACTCCATAGCTTAGAGGGAACATGGGGAGCAGAAAGCAGGGGTTTGAACCTTAGATGGCTCATGAACCTATACCAACTGGTTCGTCTCATGAACCGGCATATCGGTTCATTGAGGTTCGTGGTTCGATTCACCCACGAACCACAAACCACAAAAATGCGATTTGTGCCCATCCCTACGGCAGAGTGGGGGTTCGAATCTGGGTCTCTCAGCTCCTCGCCCAGCACTCTAAGCACTGCACCAGATGGTGTATTCAGATGTGATTGGTTCCTATCCGATGAGACTGGTTCAGGCTCCACCCTGGTTCCAAACGGCGCACCCCCCTCACTTGCCTGGGACTATTGTCTCGGCCTCTGTCCTTCCACCCTCTCTTACCTTCTCTGTATTGGTGCTGCTGCCCACCGCGCCCCCGATCACATACAGCCGGCCGAGGCAGGACGCGACAGCAGCCGAACTTACGGCTTCCGCCAGAGAGGCCACAGCTGTCCAGGTGTTGCAGAAGGAGTCATAGCATTCCACGCTGTCGAGCTGGTCAAAGCCATCATACCCACCCACTGCATAGATCTGTCGTCGAGGAGAAGGAGGAATCACATTTGGTTTGCTAATACCAAGGACATGGTGGGTTAAGGTCTTGGCAGTGTCACTTGTAGAGGTAAGTCATGTCCCAGCTCACCCGGCACTAAAGGTCATCATTCAACATATGGTTATTTTGGTACTTTTTCACTCCATCTTTCCACCACATAAATATGGTTGCCCAGTTCCCCCTAGCCACTTGAGGAAGATGGGGGAGTACAGGGGTCATTTCCTGCAGGAGCGCACAGGAGCGGAGCTCCGGCAGTAAAGAGCCCAGGGGGCGGGCACATGCAACAAGCCCCACCCCCCGCTCCCAGCAGCCCTCAGTCAGAGCAAGAAGCAGCCAGGTAAGTTGCAGAGCCCCCCCGGTCCAAGACAGTCCAGTGGCACCTTTAACACCAAGTTTTATTCAGGTACAAGCTCTCCTCTGTTATTCTTCTCATATAAATTTACTCTTTCTGCATGACTTTTTGAGCACTTGTGGTCTGTGTTATTTGTACAGTGCTTGCTTGCTTTCTGTATATTGTATACAGTGATATCGCATCTGTTTATGGTAAAGTCCCTACTCTAACCATGCTAACTACCAGTCCTTCAGCTGTCCCCCTGTAGAGTGATCTTCAGATCTTCTTCATAAGGCTGGAAGAAGAAAAAGGAGGAGGAGGAGATTGGATTTATCCCCCGCCCTTCACTACCCGACGGAGTCTCAGAGCAGCTTACAAACTCCTTTCCCTTCCCCTCCTCACAACAGATACCCTGTGAGGTAGGTGGGGCTGAGAGAGCTCTTTCGAGGACTGCCCTTGAGAGAACAGCTCTGAGGGAACTGACTGACCCAAGGTCACACCACCGGCTGCATTTGGAGGAGTGGGGGAATCAAACCCGATTCTCCCAGATTAGAGTCGCTGTTCCTAACCACTACGCCAAACTATTGACCTTGCATACTCCAATACAGATTACCAAGGGGGAGAGCTTGAGGCGGGGCTGCCATTTAATGCAGCAGTCCCTTGTTTTCTGGGTAGGTTAAAGAGGGCAGGCTTAGGAGAGTAGAATTGCCTACTAGAGTGTAGCAACCATTGAGTCAGGACTGCCCAGCATGGGAGTGTGAACCGCCATGTCCTCCCCAGAGCTCTGAGCATGGTTGCTTGAACAGGGGGAGCAGAAAGACGTACCTTTCCCAGGAGAGCGGCCATTTTGTGTCTCCACCGGCCTTTCCTCAAGCAGGCAACCTTGATCCAGGTATTCAGCTTTGGGCTCAGCATCCAGACATCTCTGCTGCCGATGTGGCCTCCTTGGGAAGCAAACACGGACCGAGAGAAAGTTAGATTGGAGTCCAGCGGTACCTTTTTAGATATTTGTACCTCAGTGTAGCTAACAGGTAATTTAGTAAAAAATTTCTAGGCATGGGCTTTGTATTGGACACAGGTCACAGTCGCTTCTCAGGCAAAGCTCTTTTGAGAAACGGGGGAAAGAAGGTCGACACGCCCCATCAGAACATTAACTACACGGCTGTGCCTTCTATCAGACAACGTGGGAGGTAAACGGTTGGACTTCATTTTGAAATTGTGTGCCTAGGCACAACATAGTGAATGCAATATATTGTGTCTTTAAACACACGTTGTTTTTGTGTTCCACTTTGTGAGACTGTGTCTTCTTGTAATGCTTTTGTATGGAGAAAGATATATTTTTGAATAATAATTCATGTTTTAATATGTTGTCGAAGGCTGGACAACACATCCCATTGTCATGTCAGATGACACAGGGAAGCCATTGAAATTCGTAAACATAAACACAATTTCAACAGGAAAGAAGAGCGTTTAAAAATAAATGGGGCATGGTTTCCTGTCCTGAAAACCACGAAAGGCTCTACATCTGACAATAGCACTACAGATAAGATTAGAATTTCAGCAGCCAATCCGCATGCAAAAGAACCTCCTCAGGAAAGCTCCTCCATTAGCATGTTCACAGCCTGGGGACCTCCTACAAGATAATGACTCAGCCCTACCCCACCTTCCTGATTAGATATAAATTACCTGCCTACCATTTTTCTTCTCACCTTGACACAGAGAGTACTCCATCTTTCTGTGTTATACCTCTGAAGATGCCAGTCACAGCTGCTGGCGAAATGTCAGGTCCTACAATGCCAAGACTACGGCCATACAACCCGGAAAATCTACAACAGCTAATTCATGTTTTGTACAGTACTTGGATTGGTCCTTTATAGTGAGCTATTTGTGGTTGTATTGTACCTTAGAGACCAGCAAGATTTGGGGGGTGTAGGTTTTCGAAACTCCAAGCTCCGTCAGATAGGGACCTCCATTCCCCCTTTCGTCTGACAAAGGGATCTCTGACTCACAAAAGCTCCCATTCTTCTCCTCTCCTCCATTTTGTCCTCACAACGACCCTGTGAGGTAGGCGAGGCTGAGAGAGTGTGACTGGTCCAAGGTCACCCAGCGAGCCTCCATGGCAGAAGTTAGAATTCGAACCTGGGTCTCCTAGGTTGACACTCTTCACCACTACGTGAAGCTACTGGACTTCAATCTAGGTGTTCTACTGCAAACCAGCACAGCTGCCCACTGAAACTATCCAAGTACTGTGGCTCTTTGGAATCTTAGAGCTCAGATAGGACACGGCACCAGTGTTCCCTCTAAGCTGAGTTAGTGTGAGCTAGCTCACAGTTTCTTAGCCTCCGGCTCACACATTTTCGTCTCAGCTCAGGAAGGAGGGCTCCAGAGCAAACTCATTGATGCCGTAGCCAAATTGCTCGCTCACAGCTTTAATGCCAGCAGCTCACAAAGTAGAATTTTTGCTCACAAGACTCCACAGCTTAGAAGGGAGCCATTGCACGGCACACGTCTCATTCCTGCCATAGGAGACGATTTGCAAGCTCATACAGACTGAATGTGCCTACTCAAAACAACCTCCACTGCTCCGCTATTAGGGGGGAAAGTGTGTTATTAAAGGACGTGTCTTTTCTCCTTCAAAATAACAGCAGCAAAGCAGGGATCTTGCACGGCACACGTCTCATTCCTGCCATAGGAGCCGATTTGCAAGCTCATACAGATTCAATGTGCCTACTCAAAACAACCTCCGCTGCTCCGCTATTAGGGGGGAACGTGTGTTATTAAAGGACGTGTCTTTTCTCCTTCAAAATAACAGCAGCAAAGCAGGGATCCCGGTTTCAAATAATAAAACCAAGTGGAGGTTGAGGGGTTAAGCCGCTTCTCCTCTCCTTGCAGAGCCCCAAGGCAAATTGAGGCTGCTAGAGTCCACGCACTGGCTCTGCAGAGCATCCATAATTAAAAGCAGTGAAATGGAGCCATTGTACCAGCTGCACAAATAAAAGAACACAGGAGAACTGAGGGGTGACTCAAAATGCTGAAAAAGCAGATCACATTATCCTTCTTGTACTGTACCACTTTAAATTGTAGAAGCTGCTTTGGTGGGCATGCAAGAAAGGGCCTTTTTGGTGGCAGCCCCGTGATTATGGAATAACCTCTCCAGGAAGGTGCGCTCGGCCCCCCTCACTGTCGATCTCCAGGAAGCATCTAAAGATAGTTTTATTTAGGACTGCATTTGATTAAAGCAGTCCTAAATTGTGATTTTAAATTTTGGTCTTATGTATTTCTACATACTCTCTTTTCAGTTCTTGGTTCTCGTGGCCCTTTCTTACACACCCAGGGAAATGCTGGGGTCAGGAAGCCATTTTTCTCCAGGCCAGCTGTGGAGGAGCTATTTGTGAATTTCCTGCATTGCGCAGGGGGTTGGACTAGATGACCCTGGAGGCCCCTTCCAACTCTATGATTCTATGTATTTTAATTTATA